TACATCAGATGGTTGAAGAAGAAAAAATGGCTTTGGAAGAATATCTGAAGAACAATGATGAAGATGCACTGAAATTAGTATATCAGGAAGGCTTACTGACTACTGGAGAGACCAAACTGGCCTACAAGAAAGACCAAATGAAGAACAGAATAGAGGCATGGGAAGACAAAGCACTACATGGCCAATACATTAAAAAAATAGCTGGGAAAGCAGATATTAACAAGACTTGGCAATGGCTAAGAGCAGGAAAATTGAAGAAAGAGACCAAGGGATTAATTCTAGCTGCACAAGACCAAGCCTTAAGAACAAATGCATATAAAGTCAAAATTGAGAAGACAACAACAGACAGTAAATGCCGTCTTTGCAAAGAAGCTGAAGAAACAGTGGGCAAGAAGATTGCACAGACTGATTACAAGCAGCGGCATGACAAAGTAGCAACAATGGTGCATTGGAAGATCTGCAAAAAAATATCATTTGCCTGTAAGCAAAAACTGGTGGGATCATAAAATAGAGAAAGTCATAGAAAATGATAAAATTAAACTGCTCTGAGACTTCAGAATTCAAACAGACAAGCACCTGCAACATAACACCCCAGACTTAACAATTGTCGATAAGGAAGACAAAAAAGTCTGGATAGTGGACGTGGCAGTGCCTGGAGATAGCAGAATAGAAGAGAAAGAACTGGAGAAGATAACAAAATACAAAGACCTACAAATAGAAATAGAAAGACTGTGGCAAAAGCAAGCAAGGGTAGTACCAATAGTCATAGGCTCCTTGGGTGCAATCCCAAAACAACTGGAGCACCACTTGAACACCATTGGCATTGACAAATTCGCTATTAGTCAATTGCAAAAGGCGGCCTTATTAGGAACTGCTTCCATCCTGCGACGATATCTGTAATACCATCAAACATCCACATCTGCCTATCCCAGGTCCTGGGTAAGGACTCGATAGGTAGACAAAATGCCAAATCCAGTCTGAACATCTGGCTGACTGTGCGGTGATCCATAATAATAATAGTAATAGTAATAATAATAAAGTTGGAAGGGACCTTGGAGGTCATCGAGTCCAACTCCCTGCTCAGGCAGGAAACCCTACACCATTTCAGACAAATAGCCTGAGAAAAGCTTGGATAAAAATGGAAAAGTAGGTAAATTGTAAGAAGGAGGAGGCAAGTTTCTTATTATAGTAAAGCCTTCTGAAACATTGTGATTAAAATTATTTAGATTTAATAGTCAACCAATCAAAAGACTCAAGGAACTGTATGGAGTTTTTTTTAAAACACTAGCACATTGGAGAAATACTGTATGGAAACCACTCATTGTCAGTCAAGAGGATTCATATGTTGTGCGTGGGCATCTGTTTGAAGGCAACCTCGGCTCTTTTATGACTCATGGACTTGGCTGGCTCAGTAATTCTGCTTGGCTGGCTCAGTAATTCTGGGAGTTGAAGTCCATGAGTCATAAAAGAGCCGAGGTTGCCTACCCCTGAGGTCAAATGAAGTAGAAATAGGATTGCACATAGAGAATGCACATCACTACATTGACACAGGATGGCACTGTATATCTATGGAGATTCTCAGTCATCCAGGTCAGAGGTCCCTAACCTTTTGAGTACCAGGGACTGGTTCTGTGGAGAAAGGTTTTTCCATGGAGGGAGAGCGTGTGGTTTTGTGTGCTGCCTGCATCCCACAGATGGGACTTTGTTTGTTTGTGCAGACCGGTTGCTGGCATGCTGCGGCTCGGTGCCAATCCATGGACTGGAAGTCTTTAAGAAGAGATTGGACAGCCATTTGTCTGAAATGGTATAGGGTTTCTTGCTTGAGCAGGGGGTTGGACTAGATGATCTTCAAAGTCCCTTCCAACTTTATCATTATTATTATTATTATTAAGGACAGAAATGCCTCATTTGACCAAAATAGTCCTTAATCAAAGAGAAGCTGACAGCTGCACTCAGGCCTGTTATGCTCATGTGGATGTTCAAGCTGAGTTTGTATGGTGAACTTTCTTTTAAAAGAGGTTTTATAATATTAGTAAAATCCTGAAGGATTTATAAAAGTAACTTTCCTTCTCCCCACCACAATGTAAAGTTGCATCATTATTATGACTCTTAGTATCTCTTCATTTTAAAACCAGATTGCCACATGGATTCTCCAGAGATGTTGAAACAATAATAGCTAGATCAGTGTTTCTCAAATTCAGCAAACTTTAAGATGTACGGACTTCAATTCCCAGAATTCCCCAGCCAGCCATGCTGAATTGAAGTCCACACATCTTAAAAGTTTGTTGAGCCTGAGAAACTCTAATCCTAGAGTCTCCAGACAGCAGATGCTCTGGGGGAAGTTGAGTTTTGAAAGGCACAGGTTCTTCCATGTTGCAATAAACAATGAGGTTGTGTAATGCCTTAGATTCGATTCTAAATAATACAAGTGTATTCTAAATAATGCCCCCAAGTACATAGAATTAGACTATATGATTCAAGGTAGCAAGATTTATAATATAACAATACATGGAAAATATTGTAATAGGGAGGAATGGTAAGGTGACCAGCTGTCCTCCTTTAGGGAGGACAGTCCTCCTTTTGTAAGTTCTGTCGTTCCTCAAAAAGTGTCCTCCTTCATGTCCTCCTTTTCGATATTTGAAGACTAATCTTTTTTTCCCCTCATAGAACGCTCAGAATGGCATTCCGGCACCTTTTTTTGATGGTTTTTTTTTTTTCAACTTTTGCATGAACTGTGCTACTCCCACTATTGGCTTTCAAAAGCCAATAGGAATTGCTGCTGAGCACCCCAAAACACCCGGCTGGCAAACTTTGCACATGCATTATTGTTGCAATGAATAAAATGTTTCTTTTATTTACGATATTTTTTTCTTCAATTTATTTGTGTCTTCCTTTTCATTGTAAAAAAGTTGGTCACCTTAGGAATGGACAAATACTGAAGGTAAGTTGTCCCAGAGGTGGAGATTATCATTGAAAAAGCTTAAGTGGAGAGTCCCTGAAGATGATATTCCCACAAATCCCCAGTGAATCCTCTATACTAGATTTCTAGTAGTCATCATTACTAGATGATATTCCCTTAAATCCCCAGTGAACTCCCTGTACTAGATTTCCAGGCTGGGAGATTCAACCTGGCAAGGGCACAGATATCCTGATTCTGAAATGGTCTGTGGGAGAGGCCTTGGGAGACGGCTCAAGAGATGTTGCCTAGGGAACAGTTAGATAAGAGATAGCATAACCTGCAGCTGCATAGTGGGTGGGGCAAAAGGATCCAAAGGAACCTTAAAAGGGACTTTTCCTAGTTTTGGGGGCTATAAAGGAGATTGGGGAGGTGATCGCTAAATCTGACCCTAGGTTCTGCCTTGGTTTACCTTTTCCAATAAGCAACAGAGTTGGAAGATCATTTAAAAGCAATTTATTAGAGTATTCTGATAAAGTGAGATCTTCCTATGAAAAGGGAGAACCCCGGGACCCATCATACATTCCCTTTTCTATAAAGACATCAAAAAAAATGCAAGAGAAAATGTGATTGGACAGAGCCAAAGTAACTTCCCTTTTGCATAGGCCAGGGGTAGGCAACCTTGGCTCTTTTATGACTTGTGGACTTCAACTCCCAGAATTCCTGAGCTAGCATCGCTGGCTCAGGAATTCTGGGAGCTGAAGTCCACGAGTCATAAAAGAGCCAAGGTTGCCTACCCCTGGCATAGACAATCAGTTACATGTAATCAAACATGTTACATATTTGCATCCCATAATATCTCACATGTTTATTAAAATGAAGTGTGACGACAGAAGAGGTGTAAATTTTAGGATATTAATAAGCAAGAAGCCTATCTGGAGTTCAAGAGACAAACCAGACACCAGTTAATGCCAACAAGCTCTCTCTCTCTCACACACACATCAGGAGATATTGTCCAGAGAAGCTATCAATCAATTCATATAGCAATAGGATAAAAAGTTCTCCTACATTCCAGTCTGCAATGGCCTGATAAATCCTTATCACCATTTTCGAAAAGGAAAAAAAGCTCAGTCAAATTAAAATATATAATAACTATGTAAGTTAAGAATATTATCAAATCCCTGTCATGTGTCCCTCGGAGGGGGGTGAGGTGGACAAAGATTTGTACTGTCAGACTTGCAAGAGTCTGTTAATGCAATGCTTTACAATAAAGCAGAATTAGCTCATCTAATTGTGTTTTCAGTCTAGTTTACCTCATAAGGCTGACAGGCAGGACAAGAAGCAATGGATGGAAACTAATCAAGGAGAGAAGCAACCTAGAACTAAGGAGAAACTTCCTGACAGAACAATTAACCAGTGGAACAACTTGCCTCCAGAAGCGGTGAATGCTCCAACACTGGAAGTTTTTAAGAAGAGACTGGACAGCCATTTGTCTGAAATGGTATAGGGTTTCCTGCCTGAGAAGGGGGTTGGACTAGATGACCTCCAAGGTCCCTTCCAACTTTACTATTATTATTATTATTATTATTATTATTATTATTATTATTATTATTATTATTATTATTATTATTAGATCCTGAATCACAGAGGGCTCTAAATAACAATAGCAATAGCACTTAGACTTATATACCGCTTCACAGTGCTTTACAGCCCTCTCTGAGCGGTTTACAGAGTCAGCATATTGGTCCCAGCAATCCAGGTCCTCATTTTATTGACCTTGGAAGAATGGAAAGCTGAGTCAACCTTGAGCCTGGTCAAGATCGAACTGCCAAATTGCAATCAGACGGCAGTCAGCAGAAGTAACCTGCAGTACTGCCTTCTAACCACTGCGCCACCACGGCTTTAAAGGAGATAACCCACCCCTTGAATTGCACCCTGCAGCTGACTTGCTTGAATAAGAATGTTCTATAAATTGGGAACAACATGAAATCGAGAGGTAAGCGCTTCTTGATGATTGGCAGGTGCCTTGAAGGGCCCTGCCCACAGAGATGCACTCTTGGGTTCCCTTCTCCTTTCTCATGCTTGTTGACAACATATGTGGTTTCCCTTTCCCCTCCAGCTTCCCCAGTTCCTCTTTTCAACTGGCCAAAGCTGTGCCTTGCCTCTGTTCCAGCTTTTTCCCCCATGAAGTCCTCTCTCTTCTTAATTCCAGCTGCTGTGGTTGCTGTCACCCTGGCAGGAACAGCTGTGTGGGCTCTCCAAGGTAAGCTTTTGGTCCTTTCTTGCAAGAAACTGCCTGATCATCTTGTAGTCAGATCCTTGGGGAAGCCCTCTTAGCCCATGCCAGTCAGGGTTGAAGGCAACTACAGGCTGGGTAGCATAAAAGTGGGGACCATATTTTCTTTGGAAAATTAAAGGATGAACCAGTTTGATCTGGTGGTTAAGGCACCAGTAAATCCAGTAAATAATTGAAAGTTGTATGGCGCCCAGAGTTGTTTTTTAGATGATGGGTAGCCATATAAATGTGGTAAACAAATCTTGTCGTGTCAGAAAAGCAGGAAGTAGGAAAGGGGACGTTATTAATTTAACATTTCAAAGCTTTGAGAAAATATAAATTTATATAGTTTATGTATGTCTAGTTTAATGAAAAGAAGGAGTAGGGGTAACATGATAGCAATGTTCCAATATCTCAGGGGCTGCCACAAAAAAAAGGGAGTCAAGCTATTCTCCAAACCACCTGAAGTCAGGCAAGAAGCAATGGATGGAAGCTAATCAAGGAGAGGACCAAGGTAGAACTGAGGAGAAATTTCATGTCAGTGAGAACAATTAACCAGTGGAATGACTTGCCTTCAGAAGTTGTGGGTGCTCCATCACTGGAGGCTTTTAAGAAGAGATTGGACAGCCATTTGTGTGAAATGGTATATGGTTTCCTGCCTGAGCAGCGGGTTGGACTAGAAGACCTCCAAGGTCCCTTCCAACTCTTCTCTTCTCTTCTCTTCTCTTCTCTTCTCTTCTCTTCTCTTCTCTTCTCTTCTCTTCTCTTCTCTTTCTAAATAAATTACGGTAAGTGAATTGGGTCCATGGTTGAAATAGGTTAAAAAAATGTTTATATATATCCTGCTTATTTTAACTCTCAATCTTTATAGACTATCAATGTCCTAATTAGTTTTCCACAGGACATTAATAGTCTATAAAGACTGAATGTTAAAATAACCAGGATATGTATAAACTAAAAATTATTGATAAATGTAAGAATGTTATTTTTATTTAATTGATATATTAGTTTCAATATGACACAGTAAACACTAAGGGGAAAAGAGAGGAAATATTTAATGTAGTAGTTTGAGACTCGTCTAAAGATATTTGATGTTATTGAATTATCGATCACCATGTTGCTTTTTAAATATTTAAATGTAAAACTAGAAAATCAATAAAACTTAAAAAAAATGTGCATCTTGCACAAATTTTGTGATTTCTAGCACAAAGAAAGCATATTTTTTCATAAACAGGTAGTCCTTGATCTACAACAGTTTGTTTAGTGACCATTCGAAGTTACAAGGGCACTGAAAAAAGTGACTTATGAACATTTTTCACACTTATGACCATTGCAGCATCCCCATATCATGTGATTTACATTCAGATGCTTAACAACTGGTTCATATTTATGATGATTGCAATGTCATGTGATCCCCTTTTGTGACCTTCTGACAGGCAAAGTCAATGGGGAAGTCAGATTCACTTAACAACCATGTTACTTTTAATAACTGCAGTAATTCACTTAACAACTGTGGCAAGAAAAGTCGTAAGCTGGGGAAAACTCACTTAACAAATGTCTCACTTAGCAACATAAATTCTGGGCTCAATAGTGGTCGTAAATTGAGGACTACCTGTATATTTAATAGTATTGCTTTTCCTCTCTGTTGCTGTGGTTCTGAGGCTTGGCCAGAAGTTAAGGTTGACCAAGATGTTCACCTTGGAGGGTGTAAAAAACGTGTGGATTTTGTTGTGGGGTCCAGGCTGCCATCTTGACTGTTCTGATGTCCCCTCCCTCCCCTGCTACAGATGCCTCAGGTTCACAGAAAATTTGTGATTTGGGCATTTGGGGCTGGCTTTGCAATGGGTAAAGATTAATTAATTAACATTTTTTTTATCCTCATAATTTCAGACATGGAGGTCAGTGCTGGAGGTGAGATTAAAATTCCATGTGGCCCAAACAGAGTCAAACTCACATGGTACTGGATTCCCCATTACCCCATCTGTGCAGGCCTAAAAATGGGCCAGATAGAAATTTGCAGTGTGATTTCTAACGAGATGATCATTAATCAAAACCTGGAGAGATTTCAAAGGCCATCAAAGTTGATGCTAAAAAAAAATAATGGAAGGTCCATCCTCACCATCCTGCTCCAACACATGAATGACTCCGGCACTTTCTATTGTTCCGATGGGAGAAGAAACTCATCCTTTATCTCAGTCAGTGTGAAATCTGGTAATAAAAAAAGTGGCATTTTAGGGCTTTGGGAAATAGATACTGTATTGAATGTCCTCTTGGCACCAAATGATGTATCAGGGGTCTCCAAACTTGGCCCTTTTATGACTTGTGGACTTCAACTCCCAGAATTCCTCAGCCAGCATGCCTGGCTGAGGAATTCTGGGAGTTGAAGTCCACAAGTCATAAAAGGGCCAAGTTTGAAGACCCCTGAGATGGATAGAAATAGCAGTAGACTGTTTGAAAATGGCACTGATGTCTTCCAGAAAACTTCTATACATCTGGGTGGCCTAGCCAGCGGTTGGCTTGAAGGAATGTCAGTGTATAGGCCTTAATACACACCCTGTGTCTGAATGGTCCAAGCTTGTAATTTTAGACCAGTACTTTTCAGATTTGGCAACTTTAAGATGTGTGGATTTCAACTCCCAGAATTCTGCAGCCAACTAACATTATGTATGCATGTCACCTTGACTGAGCAAAAATAAAGACAGGATACATATCTAATAATTAAATAAATTAATGGTAAAGGTCTTTAAGTATCTGAAAGGCTGTCCTTAGAGGACAGGCTAAAATTGTCATTTGCTGCTCTGGAAGACTCAGCAAGAATCAATGAATGGTCTAATGCAGGGGTAGGCAACCTTGGCTCTTTTATGACTCGTGGACTTCAACTCCCAAAATTCCTGAGCCAGCATGGCTCAGCTTGGAAACCTCTCCCTGTCCCCTCAGCATGGCTGGCACAGGAATTCTGGGAGTTGAAGTCCACGAGTCATAAAAGAGCCAAGGTTGCCTACCCCTGGTCTAGTGATTAAAGCACCAGAATAGAAAGCAGGAGTCTGTGAGTTCTAGTCCCACCTTAGCCAGCTGGGGTGACTTTGGGCCAGTCACTCCTTTTCAGCCCAACTCACCTCACAGGGTTGTTGTTGTGGGGAAAAAAGGAAGAAGAAGAAGCACTAGCACTTAGATGTATATACTACTTCACAGTGGTTTACAGCCCTCTGTAAGCGGTTTACAGAGTCAGCATAGTGCCCCCAACCATCTGGGTCCGGATTGTTTACCGACCTTGAAAGGATGGAAGACCGAGGTCTTCCTTGGTCAACCTTGAGATGGTCAGGATCGAACTCCTGGAGTGAGCAGTGAGTTAGCCTGCAGTACTGCATTCTAACCACTGCGCTACCATGGCTCTTATTAGGTATATTCACTGCCATGAGTTATTTATAAAAATAATAAAGGCAAGGTAAAAAAAAATGTAAATAAAGTAGAGAAAAAAGAAACGTGGGACGAACAAATCCAAATAAATATTCCAAATGTATTGTTTGATAACAGAAAAGCCCAGATAGGCTCCCATTCACTGGAGGCTTAAATGGAGCCTGGCCATTTGTATGGTATATTCTATTGCAGTGATTTTATTGAGCCAAGTCTAGATGATCTCCAGCACCCCTTCTGCCTGTCTTTGGCAGGAAAGCAAGGACATGCTGACATCCCCAGCGTCTGATTGACAGCGAGTATATTTCCCAAATCAACAAGGTTCTCTTTAGATATAATTGATGATACAGGTAGTCCTCAACTTACAACTACTCGTTTAGCGACCCTTTGAACTTATAACATCATTGAAAAAAGTGACTTATGACTGTTTTTCACACTTACCAGGGTTGCAGCATCTCCATGATCACATGATCAAAATTGAGACACTTGGCAACTGGCATGTACTTATGACAGTTGCACTGTCCCAGGGTCATATGATCACTCATCATTTGTAACCTTCCCAGGCAAGCTAAAATCAATGAGGGAAGCCAGATTTGCTTAATGAACAAATGATTTGCTTAACAACTGCAGTGATTCACTTAACAACTATGGCAAGAAAAAATTCAGCAAACTCACTAAACAACTGTCTTGCTTAGCAAAGGAAAATTTGGGCTCAATTGTAGTCATAACTCGAGGACTACCTATGTAGCCATTAACTGACCTATTAAAAAAAAAAAGCTTTGCTAGTATTTATTTCTTCTGATGGATTCCTTCATGATTAGATGAGGAATCTTTGCCTGTCTGATTCTCCTAAATTATTCTGATTTGCTGGATAGGCAGTTGCAATTCTATAAAGGAGAGAAATTTCCTTCTATTATTCTCCCTATAGCTCCACCTCTCCTTTTATTGGGAGTATTTCACTAAATGCAGTATGGAATTCTATACGTAACCAGGTAATAACTGATAACTTATTACGGAGATAACTTATCCCTGTGTCTCCCAAAAAGATATCCTTATCTTTCCCAAAGAGGTTTTTCCAAAAGGCAATTGGACTCTCTTGATTTTTTTTTCTTCGAAAACATTTTGCTTTTCATCCGAGAAGCTTCTTCAGTTTTTAACTTTTTTCAGTTAGAACAGAAGAAGCTTCTCAGATAAGAAGTGAAATGTTTTCAAAGAAATACCTAAGAAAAGTCCAATTGCCTTTTGGAAAAGCATCTTTGAGACAGCCATGACCTGGGGGGGTTACAAATCTCCATAGACATTGATTCTTACCTCTGTATTTGCAAATCTTTCAAGGAATAACATGCTGGTATTTCTGACAGATAATCGACGTGGGATGAAGGTTAACCCTCTCAAGAATTCCCATGGAAGTAAACGGGTAAAGCTGACCTGCAATTCTTGTGATGGCCAGCTGGAAGCCCAAACTCAGGACAGCTCTACCATCGTTTGGACTTTAAACGGGAAGAAAGCTTCTAATCACATATCCGTGGACTTAAGAATTACAATCACAGTCCAAGACAGTCCCCAGAATTATGGTCTCTGGCAGTGCAGCAATCCCAGATGTCGTACCCAGTTTGACGGGTATTGCTTGGAAGATGAATTTAGAATTTCAGAGAGATTGGAGTCTGAAGAAACGCCCTGGTCTACCCCAGCACCATTGGGTGAGTATAAGATTTATGGCCTGCCCATATCAGAGCTACCACCTGCATAGATTACGATTCGGTATGAATTCAAACAGGAGCAATCCATAACACTTCAAGCACCCAACGCAAGGGTGTTTTTCCAATACAAAGCTAGTTCTGAACCAGTATGGATTAAAGAGCTGGGTTTTCACAGTTGAAAACCCCCTCTCTCACTTTATTTGAAACTACCATACAGGTAGTCCTTGACTTACAACAGTTTAGTGACAATTCAAAGTTACGTCACTGAAAAAAGTGATTTATGACCTTTTTTCACACTTACAGCTGCTGCAACATCCCCATGGTTATGTGATCAAAATCCAGACGTTTGGCAACTGTATAATAATAATAATAATAATAATAATGATAATAGAGTTGGAAGGGACCTTGGAGGTCATCTAGTCCAACTCCTGGCTCAGGCAGGAAACCATTTCAGACAAATGGTTGTCCAGTTTCTTCTTAAAAACTTCTAGTGTTGGAGCATTCACTGCTTCTGGAGGCAGGTTGTTCCATTGGTTAATTGTTCAAACTGTCAGGAAGTTTCTCCTTAAGTTCTAGGTTGCTTCTTTTCTTGATTAGTTTCCATCCGTTGCTTCTTGTCCTGCCTTCAGATGCTTTGGAGAATAACTTGACTCCCTCTTTTTTGTGGCCGCCCCTGAGATATTGGAACATTGCGATCATGTCCTTCTCTTCATTAAACTTTATTTATGAGGGTCGCAGTGTCCCATGGTCATGTGATCACCTTTTTGACAAGCAAAGTCAATGGGGAAGCCAGATTCATTTAAGAACTGTGTTACTAACGACAACTGTAGTGATTCACTTAACATCTGTGGCAAGAAAGGTTGTAAAATGGGGCAAACCTCACTTAACAAATGTCCCGCTTAGCAAAAGAAATGTTGCGTTCAGTTCTAGTCGTAAGTCGATGACTATCTGTAGAGGAAAACTAATTGAATCAATTTAGTGTAGTGTGGTGGTTAAAGAGGGCAGGAGGGAACTGGGGTGGTGGGGTTTTCTGAGGTTTTATGTTGTGGATGTGTAATGCTATAAGCTGAACAGAGTCAGTGTGTGTGAGTTGAGGAGCATATAAATTTGCCAAAAAAAAAAAAAAAAAAAACCAAACCAACAAACCAGAACTGTGAGTTCTAGTCCTGCCTTTCGCTAGCTCTATCTGGGTTTTCCAGAAAGAAAGAGCAGGACAAGAAATAATGGATGGTAGTTTGTTAAAGAGAGATCCTATCTAGAAGTAAGGAGAAATTTTCTGACAATGAAAACAATCGATGGAACAGCTTCCGTTCCCAGAGTTGTGCGTACTCCATCATTGGAGGTTTTCAAAAATAGGCTGGACATTTGTTTGACTGGAATGGTAAAAGTCTCCTGCCTTGACCAGGAGGTTGGACTAGAAGACCTCTGGGTTCCGTTCCAGACCTAGGATTCTATGTTCTTTCTGAAGAAGCCCCCAGTGGCTTAACAGTCAGAGAAAGAAACATAGGAAGGGCCCGCCCCAATGGATCAAGTGATTAAAAATGTCAGTGGGAAGTTTCTGACTTCAAACTTGCAAGATTCTGTCTTGATGTTCATTTGAAGCTCCAACTTTTACTATATGCTCTATAGGGTTTTTTTATTGAAGTTTATCATAATATAAAATAGAAATGAAAATAATGATAATAGGGGAATGGGAAAGGGAAAAGGAAAGGAAAAGAAGTGAGGGTAAAAGGGAAAATAAAAAAAGGCTTTAACTTCCAGCCTCTTTCAGTGCAGTAAAATACAGAATAAAGTAACAACCTCAGCTTTTTTGCTTTTACATATTCAGTGATAGTGGCCATTTCTAAAAAAATTCATTTTTTTCCTGTTTCAAGCACAAAATCTAGAAGAGGTTTCCAAATAGAAGCAAAACTGATACTTTCCTTTAAAAAAAAATTAAAACAGTTAATTTGGCCATCTCTATTAGTTTGAAGCTCCAGATCTTAATTATGAAACCCACATGGGCAGCATGGATAACGGTTCAACCGCACAATGGAGGCTGCCATCTTGACTTTTTTGACTGCTTTGGAATGGCTCCTTTTTTCAGCTCTATTTTATGTCTCTCCAAAGATACAAAGAAGAAGTTTAAGATCCTAGTCATTGGCGGCTGCGTGATAGGATTCATCACTCTCCTATGGATGGGGGTAGCTATATTTGTTCTCTGGGAGAAGCTTCAATCACGGAGAATCAGGTAAAGATTTAAAAAGAGACAGGAATGTCTCCCTTGAATTCAGTTCAACTCCTGTAGGGATGTTACTTCCTTGATTTCCATGATGGTGGGAGGCTGGGCAGAAACAGCTTGCAGCTGTCTTCTGGTGATATCCTTACAATCTGGCCCAAAAAATGACATGGAACCAAAAAGAAGAAAGAAGACTTTGATGGAAATATGTAAGCTCCATTACCAAAGTGATGAGGAGTGAAAAATACATTAAGTTCACGACAGATAAATCATATTCAGAAGTGACTCAGACAGACAGTTTCTTAATTCGCTGGAGTATAACAAGGGGAAGAAAGTATACACAATCTGATATGCAATAACTTCTTATTATAGCCCAATATCAATAAAAGAATTTAAGCTTTCCTGTTGATTTCCTGGTCTGGTTAACTTAGTGGGACAAACACACAGTTCTATTTAGTAGATTCTTCTTGGAGCAAACAAGACTCTTATAGTTACATAGGTCCCAAGCCATTTACAAGTTTAAAAGCTATTTTGAGCATCTTACATTGCATCCTGAAACAAATGAAGTTCCCCATATAATACAGGTATTGTTTGGGAGTATTGAGTCACTCCCATCAGGATGTGGGCTGTTGCACACCTTACTTTCCAGGTGTTCTTCAAGGGCAGTCCCATCTAGCATCAGTTACAATAGTCAGGTACTGAGGCGATGAGGGCTTGAGTGAAGCCTTTCTGGTAATCTAGTAGGAACTGGGAATCCAGAAACACTTCCAGATTACAAACAAGTTTATTTTAGGGGAGCACAATTCCTTCTGGAGCTAAAATTGGAACCCCTGTGAGTTGTTATAAAGCTCAATTCAGGGAGCTAGCTGTTATCCGTTTAGATCGGTGTTTCTCAACTTTGGCACTTTTAAGCAGCGTGAAGTTCAGTTCCCAGAATCCCCAACCAGTCTGCTGGCTGGAGAATTCTGGGAGTTAAAGTCCTGACAGCTTTAAGTCATCAAAATTGTGGCTTTTATCTAAACATTGCTTTAGATAAATAGAATAAAACCTTCAGGAAGGTGAGATGATTAGAAAGGGATGAAAGCCTCTAGGTGAGCTGTAGATAGAACACCTCACTCAGTTCCCCTGCAGCAGGGGTCCCCAATCCCTACTGGGCCATGGCCCATTTGGAACCAGGCCACACAACTGATGCCCCTCACATGGAACCATCCCCTCTCTCCCACCCTCCCTGTCTGTCCGCCAAGCAGGAAAGACTTGACCTTACAGAGCCATGATGGCACAGTGGTTAGAATGCAGTACTGCAGGCCAACTCACTGCTCACCCCAGGAATTCGATTCTTAATGACTCAAGGTTGACTCAGCCTTCTATCCTCCCGAGGTTGATAAAATGAGGACCCAGATTGTTGGGGCCAATTTGCTGACTGTAAACCGCTTAGAGGCGGCTGTAAAATACTGTGAAGTGGTATATAAGTCTGAGTGCTATTGCTATTTCTTTTATCTTTTGGCCAAACCAGGGTTTGATTTTTAAGGTACCCTCAGATTCTAAAATTATTTGATATTCTACATGTGCCAGCATTCATAATAAATATCTGATTTAGCACAGCTCCATGTTTTTCTTGTTTGAATGAACCTTATAAAAATCAGATATTTAGGAGGCATTTCACTGTCATCCTTTTAAGCCCCAGTAAGACTGCAAAGGAGCCAAAATCACAAGGGATTCAGAATTCACTTGGTGAGTAGTGTTTAAATTTTTGTTTTTCCTTTTTGCTGATCTATGACTGTAATAAAGATTGATGATTTTTTTTTATTTTCCTAATTATGCTTAGTATAGTCCAAATCAGTGCATCATTGACAGTCAAAATTGTGATGTCCACAATTGTTTCTCTGTTTTACGGGCTACAATAAAGAGCCTTTCAGCTCAGTTTTTCTATTGAAGTCCGCTGAGGTGGGTTCTAGGACAATTCACCGCAGCCAACTTGCCGTGGGATAAGAGTTACACTAATATTGAAGAAATGGTGGAGTGGAATCGTTAAACAAAGGATACCAAAGGAAGGAGAAAATTAAATGTGAAAGATGAAAATTAAAATTATTTTTTAAATTATTTTAAATAATTAAATTGATTTGTTGAATTGCCCTCTGGTGAATTGTCCTGCGATGAGTTGCCATGGAGAATTGGCCACAGCGAGCTCTCCCATTCCACATCGTGAAGTCCACTTTTACAGAATGGGTGCCTGGGAAGTACAGCTGTTGACCAGGTCTTTAACCAATCATAGTGAGTTGCTGTAGCTTGTTCTATTACATTTGCTAATATCTTCCAATTTTAGGAGTAGAAAAACCCCTAAAGGACCAAGGGAAAGAGAAAGACGTAGAGATGAATGAGGTAAGTTCTGTGTCACTTCTACTGCTCCTGATAGTTATATTAAGTAGTGAATAGATTAATATGCCATTTCCAATGCCAGAAAGAGTGGTATAAACGGGATCCACATTCCAGTTTGTGACAAAATGTCCTTTTTCTCAAGTGCAAGCCATTATAAATTAAAACCATTCTGCAACAAGTTAATTTACATCAGTGGTGGGATTCAAATATGTGAACAACCGGTTCTCTGTATGGATGCCGCTTCTGGAAGTCCATTCTGGGCTTGGGCAACAAAAAATTAGCTACCAGTTCTGTCGAAGTGGTGCGAACTGGCTGAATCCCATCACTGATTTACATATATTTGCATATTGGGCCAGTCTAGGCCAGTGATGGCGAACCTTTTAGAGACTGAGTGCCCAAACTGCAACCCAAAACCCACTTATGCATCGTTGAGTGCTGGGTGGGTGTGGCCCATTGGCTGGGTGTGGCCAATTGGGTGGGTGTGGCTGTGGTAGTAATGGCAGACTGGGTGGGATTAAAAAGTTCAATCAATCAATTCCAACTTAGCAAGTTCTTTTTTTTCCTGCGAGAAGTTGAAATTGACTGATTGAAACTTTTTTTTTTTGCACATGGCGGCGGAGGCCTAAAGCGAAAAGGTTTTATAAAATCCAGCTGAAGGCCTAGGACTGGGGCGACGGCGCGCATGCCCACAGAGAGGGCTCTGAGTGCCGCCTCTGGCACCCGTGCCATAGGTTCGCCACCACTGGTCTAGGCTCTCCTTCAGAGGGAGTGGATGTTTATGCATTGCAGTCTTCAGCTGTTTGTCTCCCTTGCATAAACTGGCTGCAAATAAAGTCAGTTTAAGAAATTGCTTTTAGGATTTTGATTTGCTCTGGCAACAATACTTTGGCACCTGAAGAGAAAGATGAAAAGATTCCCCCTTTTGTTTTGCCTCACCCATTTCTGTCCTGCCAGACTATTAGGCTCATTCCTTGAAGACTGTTTCACACCTGTACCTATGCAGACTCAACTGCTTCCAAGTCAGGTCCCTCAAGACTTTAGAGCACGGGTGTCAAACTCGCCACGTCACGTGATGTGTTGCGACGTATTGCGACTCTTTTTGCATTGCCAGCAATGGGGTGGGCACGGCTTCGGTATAATGAAACTGGCCCGCAGGCCAGCAGTTTGACACCCCTGCTTTAGCAGTACAGATCTACTACCGCTAATTCTCAACTTAGGACCATTTCTTTAGTGGTCATTCGAAGTTAAAATGACATTGAAAAGAGTGACTGATGACCATTTTTCACACTTACAACCATGGTGGGATTCAGCCGGTTCGCACCACTTTGGCAGAACCGGTAGCTAATTTTTTGTTGCCCAGGCCCAGAACGGACTTCTGGAAGTGGCATCCACACAGAGAACTGATTGTTCACATATTTGAATTCCACCCCTACTTACAAACCATTGCAGCATCTTCGTGGTCACGTGATCAAAATTTGGATGCTTGGCAACTGGCATGTCCTGGAGTCATGTGGTCACCATTTGTAACCTTCCCAGCAAAGTCAGTGAGGGAAGCCAGAATTCCTTAACAACCACTTCACTGCAGTGATTCATTTAACACATGTGGCAAAAAAAAAAGGTTGTAAATTTGGTTTGCTAAGGTTGTTAAGTAGGACAAAACTCATTTAACAGCTATCTTGTTTAACAATGGAAATTTTGGGCTGAATTGTGGTTGTAAATCTAGGACTATATTTAAAAGAACCTGTGACATAAGGGATGTTTCTTTGCTGCCATCTTCTGGACCTTTAGGGTTCAGATATGATAGCTCTGTTAAGAGAGACAGAGGCAGATAGAAGAGGATGGAGGGTATTTGTCATCCATTCTCCTTTACCCTCTGGTTGATCTATCTTCATCTAAAGATTTCCGAAAATCTGACTATGCTACAAGAGAGACATGACAGAAAACTCAGTTTTATTGATTGTCAATACACTGAGCTTCTGCAGGTGAACCACGAAGAAGCAATGCCTGGTCATTATTGTTCAATCAGACTCTTTGCAACCCAGAGCACACCAGAGCTCCCTGTTCTCCATTGTCTCCAGAAGATGCCCAAGTTCATGGTCATTGGGTCAATGACACTATCTAACCATCCCATCCTCTGCCATCCCCTTCTCCTTTCGCCTTCAATCTTTCTCAACATCCAGGTCTTTTCCGATGAGTCCTCTCTTCCCATTTGGTGGCCAAAGTATTTGAGCTTCAGCTTCAGTGTCTGACTTTCCAAAGGACAGTCTGACTTGATTTCCTTCAGTATTGACTGATTTGACCTTCTTGCAGTCCAAGGGACTCTCAAGAGTCTTCTCCAACACCACAATTCGAAAGCATCAATTCTTTGGCACTCAGCCTTCCTTACGGTCCAACTCTCACAGCCATGCATTACTACTGGGAAAACTGTAGCTTTGACTATATGGTCTGGTCATTAGCCTGAGCTAAAATTCAATAACTTTGATGGTGGTTGAAGGAGTTTGCTATATACTACTGACCATAGCGGGCCTTGGTCTTTTGATCTCCCTCTTTTTCCCCCTTCTGTTTTTTTTTAAGGAAGCAGAAGAAATCCAATACTCGGTTTTGGAATTCAAGGAGACTGAGCAGTGCCAGAGTCGGAAAAAGGAGGGGATACCTGCTACCATCTATGCAGAAATGCTTGCAAGCAATTGTTCAGAAAGCTGATCTGTCAAAAAGGCTGATATACGATCCTTTAGAGCAGTGTTTCTCAACTATGGAAGCTTGAGCCTCAACTCCCAGAATTTATACAATCTTTTGATGTAAGGTGTCTCAACCTTGACAACTTGAAGTTGTATGAAATTGCAACTCCCAGAATTCATACCATCTTTTAGAGCAGGGTTTCCCAAACTTGTTGAAGGACTGAGGCTGAAGAACTTCTGGGAACTGAAGTCCACACATCTTCCAGCTGCCAAGGCTGTTCCTTTAATAAATCATCAAGATCTATGCAGGCAGTCTGGTTTATTGAAGGATAGGTGAGTTTGGCTGAAGGTCAAGCTGCACGCAAGACAACTGCTCTAGTAAGCAAAAGGGTTCTGCAGATATTTTCATTGCTAAGATTCGCAAGAAACCTGATTCTACAGTGATCAACAAAATTAACCCATGGAGAGAAAGCAGACAATCAACAGTGGACTTGGAGGCAGGGAGGATCACCTGTTTGTTGGAATGTAAACTGGAAATGTATTTTTGTCACGTTCATGGTATTTTTGTTTTGCACAGTTTTTGCTTTATGTCTAAATAAATGTTAATGGGCCCATCACACAAGTAGTCACGCTGTGCCTGTTTATTCAAGAGTCATTTTGCTCTGGGCAGCTTATATTGCAGGGATAATGTTTAGGACTGCATTTTCCATTTGCAAAATCAGAGACCTGTACCTTACAATTTTTCATTTCTAGTTTCGGTTTTTAGTGTCTCTTGCAAATGAACAGCATATATAGGAAGGAAACAAAGACCTCAGTTGCCAAGAATCCATGGCTGATACTGAATATTTATTATATTTATAACACAATGTTGTAAATACAGGAATAATAAACGTACATTAAATGTACAAGGTGTTTAATAATAACAGGACTCCCAAGTACATTGAAATCTATGAGGTGGTAGGAAAGCAAAAACACTTGAATGCAAAAGGAAGGAACCAAGAGAAATAATTGGTACAGGTAGTCCTTGACCCATGACTTCTTGCAACTATTTAAAATTATGACAGAACTCCTTGGGCGTGCTTATGAACTATATTTGAAGTTTCCAGGTATCACTTGACTGAGCTTTTGGTGCTCGGCAATTTATTTATTTATTTATGAGACTTATATACCGCTTTTAAGTGCAAGCACTCTCTAAGCGGTGTACACCAGTAAGCAATGTATATATATATATATTTACATTGCCCCCAACAATCTGGGTCCTCATTTTACCTACCTCGGAAGGATGGAAGGCTGAGTCAACCTTGAGCCGGTGAGATTTAAACCGCTGACCTGCTGAACACAGTCAGCTAAAGTGGCCTGCAGTACTGCACTCTAACTGCTGCGCCACCTTGGCTCATTGGCTGGCATTTATGGCCGTTTACAGCATGCCGCTGTCATGTGATCATATTTTATGACGGTTTTGATGAAAACTGACATTTGCTGAAAAACAGCCCACAGCAATCAGAATAGAGTTGGAGGGGACCTTGGAGGTCATCTAGTCCAACCCCCTGCTCAACAGGAGACCCTATGCCATTTCAGATAGGTAGCTGTCCAGTCTTTTCTTAAAACCCTCCAGTGGCGAAGCTCCCACAATGTCTGAAGGCAAGCTTGTCCTCACTGTTAGGAAGTTTCTCCTTAATTCCTGCTTGCTTCTCTCTTTGATCAGTTTCCAACCATTGTTTCTTGTCCTGCCCTCTGGTGCTTTGGAGAATAGCTTGATGCCCTCTTCTTTGTGGCAGCCCCTCAAATACTGGAACACTGCTATCATGTTGCCTATTTCTTCTTTTCTTTAGACTAGCCAAACCCAAGTCCTGCAGCCGTTCTTCATATGTTTTAGTCTCCAGGCCTTTGATCATTTTAGTTGCTCTTCTCTGAACTTTTTCCAAAGTCTCAACATCTTTTTTTGTAATGTGGTGACCAAAACTGGATGCAGTATTCCAGATGTGGTGTTACTAAGGATTTATAAAACAGTACTAATACTTGACATGATTTTGATTCTATGCCTCATTGTATGTATGCCAGGATTGTATCAGGGCTTTTGGCTGCTGGCTCATGTTTAAGTGATTTAAATATTTAAGTGATAGCAAACCATTGGTTCACTTAACAACCACAGTGTTCATTTAATGACTGCTGCTACATGGTCATGAAATTGGATCAACCACTTGATTTACCTAACTATCACAGCTTGGGATCGTGATGGGTCGTAAGTTGAGGACTACCTGCACAGGAGCTTAGAGATTGACAAATGCAATTGGGGGGGCTGAGGAGGTCAAAAGGATGGGTGAAAACATCTTTAACTGCAAGTATGGCAAATAATGCCCTTGTTTCTTTAAATGCACACAGCAGGTACAGGTGGATACTGTAGATAAGATTACAAGTAATGGGAGAATATAATCTTTTCTGTTTTGCTTTGGTCTTGACAAAAATGCCCTTGCTATCTAAGGACTAGTTGTAGAGATATATTTGGCTATATTCTGGATATAAATACATAAGAAGATTTCTATTATTAAGGGGTCCCAAGAAAAAAGGAAGTGATATTCTCTCCTTGCACTTCAGTGTTGCTATACGGGGACAAATTTTGTTAGGCTTCCCCAAAATGCATACTGTAGCTCTGAAGCCTGCAGCAGCCCACCCTCCCAAGGGCATTACTACTACTTTACTATGTCTTGTCCCACCCTTCTGAAAGGTTCAAGGAAAACTCTCATTCAAACTTAGAGCCAGGAAGACTTGCTGTGTCCTGTGCCTGATGAGCTCACAATATGCAATTCAAAGCAGAGTCCAGGTGAAGTTCAATATGTATCACAGGTAAAAAAAAGATTCAGTCTTCAAGTGCATGTAGTAGGAAGGGATGAAAAGTGATATCAAACAATCACAGCATATACCGTGGCATTGTCTGGAGCCTGAACAAGTGGAGATTTTCCTTGGAGATGCTGCAGCTGAGCATAATAAAGGGAAGAGGATCTCTGGAAAAGAAAGCAGCATTAGATAAAGCAGTGGTTCTCAACCTTTTTAATGCCGCAACTCCCAACCGGTCGTAAGTCGAGGACTAAACCGGTTGTAAGTTGAGGACTAAACCAGTCGTAAGTCGAGGACTACCCAACCGGTTGTAAGTCTAGGACTTTCCCTGCCCGAGAGCGCCGCGCATGCGTGGTGCCACCCTCTGCGCCAGCCGAGGCGTAGCTGGCAAGCGGCAGAGACGGCGCAAGACGACCACCGGCTGGGCCACCAGCTGGCCCAGCCCAAGGGAGGTAAGGCACCCGCCAGAAAAGGGGGAAAAATGGCAGATAGCCTTGCTTAGCGACCCCCATGAAATGGTCAATCGACCCCAAATGGGGTCGCGACCCATAGGTTGAGAACTGCTGAGATAAAGGGTTGATTTATCTAATTAGTAGTATTCTAATATCCATTAGCATACTCATGCTAGCACTGATGATATTACCTAGTTGGGTAATGAAATGTCTGCAAAAAAGCAACCAAGCTCAGAACGCATCAAGAGCCCCACCCACCGTTCAATCCTCCTGAACTATCAATATTTTCTTCTATTGGTTAGAATTCCCTTAGAGACTGAAGGAGGTGGGAAATAATATTTGCTATAATATAACAATTGATAATATAACAGTTGTGCTCCAGCATTTCATTTCTAGTTTCCTTCTTAAAAAGAGTGTCAGGGGTCCCCAACCTGTGGGCCGTGGCCTGTTGGCCACCGGGTTGTGTGAGCGACTGGCCAGTGAGCGTGTGTGCATGCACTCACACAACCCCTACTAGCGTCGCTGCAAGTGTCATGTGAGTGCTAGCATCACTGCAAGTGTCGTGTGAGCGCTAGTGGGCCCGTTCACACGTACGCATAAATATGCCTACCCTTCCTTTCCCCTCCGGTCTGCCAATCCTGAAATGTTGGGGAACTCTTTCCTAGGTAGCTTAACTGTTTCAAACTAGGTTCCTTTTACAAATGCTGGATTATAATTTCCAACATGTTTACCAAGGTAACGGGTCTGGTGGACCAATTCCAGACTATAGCAAGCTGGGGAAGTCTGGCCAGCTGATAAATAATGAACCACAGGTAGATCTTGACTTATAATCACAAGTGGGACCAGGAATGTCCGATGTGAGTATTAGGTGAGAGCCATGCCTGATTTTTTTGACCTTTTTTGACACGGTTCTTAAGCCAACCATGTGGCCATTAAGCGAATCCAGCTTTTCCCATTGACTTTGCTTGTCAGAAGTCCCTGAGAAGGTCACAAATGGCATTCATATAACCCCCTGGACACTGCAACCATGGTAAATACATGCCGGTTCTGAGCATTCAAATTCTGACCATGTGAGTATGGGGATGCTACAACAGTTATAAATGCAAGAACTAATTGTATGCCACTTTTTTTAGCACCATCATAACTTTGAAAGACCACTAAGTGAAAAATTGTAAATCGAGGACTACCTGTGCACTTAAAGACAAACTTATCAGGCTGAAGCCCCCAGTCATAAATCAAGGACAAACTGTGTTGAAAAGTTAATATTTGTCGTGAGTCTAATTATGGAAGTATGGCATAACACCCTGGACTCACAATCTGCCCAAGTTTATTCTGACTGTGCTGTGCTCTTAGGAACATCCAGCTGGTAGTTACCTCATCCAGACTCTCTTGTTTGCCTATTTTCTCCTTTCTGATGGGGTTTCTCACGGAAGCAAAATCTTGAGGTTGTGGTGTCATAATAAGCAAGATATGAAAAAAGAGAGAAATGGACATAGTGAAAAGATAATAAAATAAAAACAGAAAAGATGGCAGTGCAGATTTGGTCTAGAAAACCTCCAAAGTCTCTATTAACTCAACAACTCTATGACTGTGGGAAGGAGCAACAAGTAAGCTTCAGCGTCATTTTGGAAATATTCAAAATGTTCCATTTAAAAACAAAAACGTTCTGCACAGAGAGGACTGGTCCAGAAATATTGCTCAAAAGGAATCAGTGGGAAAGACTCCATACACTCCCTACCTGCATGCTCCATTCTTTCACCAGAAGCCCTAGAAAGAAATTTTTAAAAAAATATTATAATCAATATGGCAAGACCAGCTAAAATACCATCCTCTTCCTTATTAAACTCCTTTCTCGATAAGCAGATTTGGCAATGTTTTATACCATGGCAGGGATTACTGAGAATAGATTTTACTTCTGAAAGATACTATGTTGGTTTAGGGCAGGGGTAGGCAACCTTGGCTCTTTTATGACTCGTGGATTTCAACTCCCAGAATTCCTGAGCCAGCCATGCTGAGAGGAAAGGGAGAGGTTTCCAAGCTGAGCCATGCTGGCTCAGGAATTCTGGGAGTTGAAGTCCACGAGTCATAAAAGAGCCAAGGTTGCCTACCCCTGGTTTAGGGATAGGTTGTAGGCCAGTGTAATGTCCAACCATTCTGTGCTTACAATTGCATAATAGATAGGACCTCATACATTTTGTGGAATAACAGAGTTGGAAGGTACCTTGGAGGTCATCTAGTCCAACCCCCTGCTCAGGCAGGAAACCCTATACCATATCAAACAAATGACTGTCCTATCTCTTCTTAAAAACTTCATGTTGGAGCATTCGTAACTTATGGAGGCAAGTTGTTCCACTAATTGTTCTAACTGTCAGGACATTTTTTCTTATTTCTGAATTGGTTCTCTCCTTGATTAGTTTCCATCCATTGTTTCTTGTCCTACCTTCAGGTGCTTTGGAGAATAGCTTGACTCCCTCTTCTTTGTGACAACCTTGGAGATATTGGAACACAGCTATCATGTCACCCCTCATCCTTTTCTTCATTAAACTAAATATACCCAATTCCAGCAACCGTTCTTTATATGTTTTAGCCTCCAGTCCCCTGATTATCTTTGTTGCTCTTCTCTGCACTTAATAATAATAATAATAATAATAATAATAATAATAATAATAATAATAATAATAGTAAAGTTGGAAGGGACCTTGGAGGTCATCTAGTCCAACCCCCTGCTCAGGCAGGAAACCCTATACCATTTCGGACAAATGGCTGTCCAGTCTCTTCTTAAAACTTCCAGTGTTGGAGCATTCACCGCTTCTGGAGGCAGGTTGTTCCACTGGCTAATTGTTCTAACTGTCAGGAAGTTTCTCCTTAGTTCTAGGTTGCTTCTCTCCTTGATGAGTTTCCACCCGTTGCTTCTTGTCCTGCCTTCAGGTGCTTTGGAAAATAGCTTAATTCCCTCTTCTTTATGGCAGCCACTGAGATATTGGAATACTGCTATCATGTCCCCTCCTTGTCCTTCTCTTTGTTAAACTAGACATACCCAATTCTAGCAACCATTCCTTATATGTTTTAGCCTCCAGTCCCCTAATCATCTTTGTTGCTCTTCTCTGTACTCTTTCTAGAGTCTCAACATCTTTTTTGCATCATGGTGACCAAAACTGGATGCAGTATTCCAAGTGTGGCCTTACCAAGGCATTGAAGAGTGGTATTAATACTTCACTTGATCTTGATTCTATCCCTCTGTTAATGCAGCCTAGCACTGTGTTGGCCTTTTTGGCAGCTGCAGCACACTGCTGGCTCATATTTAGGTGATTGTCTACTAGGACTCCGAGGTCTCTCTCACAGTTATTACTATTGAGCATGGTGCCACCTATGCTGTACTTGTGCATTTGATTTTTCTTGCCTAAATGTAGAACCTTGCTTTTTTTCACCATTGAATTTCATTTTGTTAGTTAGTTAGTTAGTTAGTTCATTAGTTAGTTATTCTATCCCTCTGTTCATGCAACCTAGCACTGTGTTGGCTGTTTTGGCAGCTGCAGCACACTGCTGGCTCCAAGATCCCTCTCACAATTACAACTATTGAGCCAGGTACCATCTGTACATTTGGTTTTTCTTGTCTAAATGGAGAAGAGACTATGAAGAAGTGGCATTTTCTCCATAAAATGTAGATCGTAGGAGGTTCCAAATAGGCTAGAGCAGTGTTTCTCAACCTCAACAACATTGGGACATGTAGACTTCAACCCCCAGAATTCATGCTACCTAAAACATTTTGGAAGTTGAAGCCCACTCATCTTAAAGCTGCTGGTGTTGAGATGCTGGTGTAGAGAGTTTAAATGCATACAGCAGACTCTCTGGCTGGATAATGGTGGAATGGCTGCAACCTGATTCCCATTTGATTTTATTTGGAACACTATAAAATCCTTGAAGATAACTGTAAGGCCAAGAATAACGTAATGGTTAAAGCATTGGACTAGGACCTAAAATACCACCTACTGTATGACATGAAAGTTATTTCATGATGATTACAATGTCTTGGTTCAACTGACCTTGCAGTGTTGTTATGAGGACACCTGGAGGAAAAGAAGAATATGAATACAATCAATGAATCCATTCCTAAAAACAAGATATGTTTCCAAAGCCCAGTAATAGCAGCCAGTAATAAGGAGCACAATGTGATGGCATTTGGGGAGAATCTACTAGATCAATTCCCTGTGATCTACTAGAAGAGCTATGAGTCTCTAAATTTAACAAGCATTTTAATGAACGACAATGTCATTTTAATGATCGGTGGCAATTGACTTAGCAGCGAATGAGAGACAAATGAAATTACAGATAGTCCTCAACTTTCAACAATCTGAATTTGTGTTGCTAAGCAAGACAGCTGATAAGGGAATTAACACCTGATTTTACAACCTTTTCTGTCATAGATGTTAAGTGTAACACCGCAGTTGTTAGTAAATGGTATGGCCATTAAGTGAATCCAACTTCCCCCTATTGACTTTGCTTGTCAGAAGCTGGCTGGGAAGATTGCAAATGGCGATCATCTGACCCCAAAACACTGCAATCATTGTAAATACATGCCGGTTGCTAAGCGCATGGCCTTCTCCAATTCGAAGAGACACTTGTGCGGCAGGCTGAGGCAAAGAGGCAGTCCCGGAACCAGTGAAATCTGGGGGCTGGACAGGGGACAGATTGTATCTGCCCTCAGTGTGGGGGGGGGGACTGCCACTCTCGAATTGGCCTTTTTAGCCACACCAGATGCTGCTTTAGGACCTCCTTTCAGAGCACGATACCATAATCTCTCGAGACTGAAGGATGCCAATAAACGATGGTGCTAAGCGCCCAAATTTTGATCATGTGACCATGAGCAGGGATCCCCAACCCCCGGTCCATGGAACGGCACCGGGCCGCGGCAGGTCAGACACTGGTCCACGCAAACAAGCAAAGCCCCATCCGTGGGATGCAGGAAGTACCTGAAACCACGCCCCCTCCAGTTTGCAAAAAAACCTCTCTCCATGGAACCGGTCTCTGGTGCTGAAAAGTTTGGGGACCTCTGACCATGGGGGATTCTGCTATGGTTATGACTGTGAGGACCAGTTGTAAATCTCTTTTTTCAATGCCATTGTAATTTCAAACGGTCACTAAATGAATGGTTGTATGTTGAGGAAAAATAGAGAGTGGAGTAATACCCGGTTGAAAACGCGTCACTTCCCTCCCATCAAAGTTCTTCACAGAAGCATTTTGACCCACCTGTCTGAAAAATCTTTTTTCCAAAAATACAAGGTCACACTCAAGGCAGCTGCGATCAGAACCACACCAACTAACAGCAGCATCCAAATCCAGGTAGCAATTCTATCCCCGGCATGGCGTTTCTGTGCAACTTCGGTGGTTTGAAGGACAGCAGGACTTGACCAATCAGAGAATGCTGACCAAGTGGGCTCAGTAGAATCAATATCTTCAGGAACTGTTGGGAAGGTGACAATGGAATGAAAAATACGTGATATTTTTTTCCCAGGTCAAGCCCTGTGGCCTCTTTCCATCTTCTGAAAGAGTTTCAGATTTTAAGGTGTTTTAATTACCGGTAGCCCTCAATTTACAACCAGAACTGAGTCCAACATTTATGTTGCTAAGTGAGAAATTTGTTAAGCGATTTTTTTGCCCCATTTTACGACCTTTCTTGCCACAGTGGTTAAATGAATCACTGCAGTTGTTATGTTGGTAACAGGGTTGGTAAGTGAATCTGGCTTCCCCATTGATTTTGCTTGTCAGAAGGATGCAAAAGGGGATCACAGGACCTCTGGGACACGGCAACCGTCCTAAGTACATGCCAGTTGCCAAGCATCGGAATTTTGATCGCGTGACCATGGGATGCTGCAAGAGTCGTAAGTGTGAAAAACAGTCATAAGTGTGAAAAACGGTCATAGGTGTGAAAAAACGGTCGCAAGTCACTTTTTTCAGTGCCGTTGTAACCTTGAATTTACCAAATGAAGGGTTGTAAGTCGAGGACTGCCTGTACAAAAACCAGATGGAGAAATGGACAGTGATGGTTCTCCAGAAGGAGCCTGAAAGTACTGATTGTCTCCTTCAATACTGTATCTGATGGGGAAATCAAATAATCTTTGGACACCTGGTACATCTAGCTCAGTCACTGATTGTAAGGTGACCAACCGTCCTCCTTTAGGGAGGACAGTCCTCCTTTTGTGAGTTCTGTCCTCCCTCGAAAAGTGTCCTCCTACATGTCCTCCTTTTCGATATTTGAGGAATAATCTGCAGGGCTTTTTTTTCCTCATAGAATGCTCAGAACGGTGTTCCAGCATCTTTTTTTGATGGTTTTTTTTTCAACTTTTGCATGAGCTGTGCTACTCCCCCTATTGGCTTCCAAAAGCCAATAGGAATTGCTGCTGAGCACGCCAAAACACCCAGCTGGCAAACTTTGCACATGTAAGTTGTCTGCAGCGAAGGCGAATTGGCAGGAACTTTGCACCCCTCCCTGCTACCCAACTACACCATCTCCTAGTTAGACCCGAAGATACCCGGAGGAGACTGGAGCGGCAACGCCATGGTAACTTTCTCTTGATCTTCGGCCCTGCTAGGGCAATAATGGCTGCGGGTGCAAGAGGCAGGGGCGACGGAGCTGCTGTGGGCAGGGGTGTGAGGGGTGGAGGTGGCTGGCTGCCCCCCGTGCTATGGGAGCCACAGGGCCCGCTCTACACGGCGGGGCAGCAGTGCTGGCAGGATGGCTGCAGGCAGGGGCCCGGCATGTAAGCATAATTACAATATAAAATGTTATTGTTACAAATGTTTTTTATTATGCATTTATCATATTATAGTGTATTCTGTATTATTGTTGCAATGAATAAAATGTTTCTTTTATTTACGATATTTTTTTCTTCAATTTATTTGTGTCCTCCTTTTCATTGTAAAAAAGTTGGTCACCTTACTGATGGGAAGAAGCCATGTCTGCTGAACATTTCCCCTCTCTGTGTGCAACTCTTTAATGTAGAGTTCCCCAACTTTTTGGGATTGGCGGCCCGGGGAGGCGGGCCCATTGTCACACGAGTGGGGCTGTGAGTGCTTGCGTGAGTGGGACCGCGAACGCCTGCAACATTCACAGTGACACTCACATGAGTGTGGTCACAAATGCCTGTGATACTTGTGGTGACACTCACGCAAGTGGGGCTGTGCGTGCATGCATACTTGCACACATCGGCCAGCCACTTATGTGGCCCGGTGGCTAATAGGCCATGACCTGGTAGTGGGCCATGGCCCATAGGTTGGGGACCCCTGCTTTAATGCACATACTGTAAACTACCATTAAAAGCAAACCGTTTATTCCCAACTTACTTTCGTCCTTCTCTCCAAAGGGTGGACTCAAGCAAAATTCAGAACTCCAAGCAGGATTGAAAGTAGACTGGCACTCCCAGCGTCCCCATATCTCATCCTGTATGGCATGTAATAATACTGAAGAGCCCATACTGCTCTTCTTAGCCCAGGGGCGGTTGCCTAGTCGGTTTGAGTTCAGCAGCCATCGGAAATGATGAGCTTTCTGTTTAGAGCAATGCTGGCAGTTGAGCTTTAAATAGGAGATACTGACCTTGTGGGAGGAGACCAAGATATTGTTGTGGCAGCCTGAAGAAAAAAAAGGAAATAAGGTAGATGGCAGGATTAACTCTGGAGTTGAAGGAATCCTAAGGTGTGCTAGGCAACTAGGAATGCTTTAATAATAATAATAATAATAATAATAATAATAATAGTAGTAGTAGTAGTAGTAGTAGTAGTAGTAGTAGTAGTAGTAGTAAAGTTGGAAGGGACCTTGGAGGTCATCTAGTCCAACCCCCTGCTCAGGCAGGAAACCCTACACCATTTTGGACAAATGGCTGTCCAGTCTCTTCTTAAAAACTTCCAGTGTTGGAGCATTTACTGCTTCTGGAGGCAGGTTGTTTGTTTCCCACAATCTTCCCAATATAGAACAAGATCCTCTTTCTGGGTCATGTTTGATATTTTGAGAGAGCCGATTAGAAGCATTGATCCAAAATGGTTATCACCAGTGGTGGGATTCAGCCAGTTTGCACCAGTTCAGCAGAATCGGTAGCTAATTTTTTGTTGACTTTGGCAAACTGGCTGAAGCCCTAGCTCTTTTTTGCAAGGCCCCAAATGAGCCAGCGGAAATGCGTGGATGCCACTTCCAGAAGTCCGTTCTGAGCCTCGGAGGCCTGGGGCAGGCTTCCCAGGCCCAGAACAATCCACCAGAAGTACGTGGATGCCGCTTCCGGAAGTCTGTTCTGGGCCTCAGAGGCCCAGGCCCAGAACGGAGTTTCGGAAGCGGTATCCACTCATTGAACCGGTTGTTCAGGTTTTTGAATCCCACCACTGGTTACTACCATGGGCAGATTTGGTCCAGTGGTAAAAGCTCTAGGCTAGAAACCAGGAGATTGTGAGTTCTAATCCCATGTTAAGCATGAAACCCAGCTGGCTGACTTTGGGCCCATCACTAAGACTGTGAGTTTTAGTCCAGTCTTAGGCATAAAAGCCGGCTGGCTGATTTTCAGCCAATCACCAGGAGGCTGTGAGTTCTAGTCCTTCCATAGACATAAAAGTCAGCTGGGTGACTTTGCTCCAGTCCCTCTCTTTCAGTCCAACCCACCTCACAAGGGTGTTGTTGTGGGAAAAATAGGAGGAGGGAGGAGTATTAGATATGTTGGCCACCTTGAGTTATTAATAAAACAGTAATAAAGATGGGTTAAAAAAATCTAAAGTAAAAACAGAAAGTTTTAAAAATATGACAAGTTTACCAGAAGTTTCTCAGATGCTACCAAATTTTCTGCACATCCAACTTATCCTTTAAGAAGTGTGTGAGCATCATTCCAAGCAAAGGACTTTAATCCATATCTCTTGGCCAATTTTATTTTCACCTTACACATTAGATTTTCCACCTTGAAAAAGTGATTCTCCATTCCTCCAAACAAAAGGGTGCTCCAGAGTTTGGAGACAAACTTTGGAAAAAACAGTGCCCTTGATGATACAGATGATACAGGTACTCGACTTACAACAGTTCGTTTAGTGACCATTCGAAGTTACAACAGCGCTGAAAAACTGGCTTATGACCAGTTTTTCATACTTATGACCATTGTAATCGCCCTATGATCATGTGATCAAAATTCAGATGTTTGGCAACTGACTCATATTTATGACATTGGAGTGTCCTGAGTCATGTGATCATCATTTGCGACCTTCTGATAAACAAAGTCAATGGGGAAGCCAGATTGATTTAACAACCATGTTACTAACTTAACACCTGCAGTGATTCACTTAATAACTGTGGCAAGAAAGGTCGTAAAATGGGGCAAAACTCACTTAACAAATGTTTCACTTAGCAACAGAAAGTTTGGGTTCAATTGTGGTCATAAATCAAGGACTACTTGTAAATGAGTCCAAACAGCTGTACCTTTAGCTCTTTGTTTGTTAATTACAGGTCTATGTAAGCAGGATGTCTTAATTTTCCTAGAATCACTATGTTGGAAAGCCTCCTCTGCAACTATGAACTGTATAAAAATACCCTAACATGTTTTTTTAAACTTCCTATAGGCTCCGATGGAAACTTTTTTTTATATAAGCCTCTTAGCAACACATAGGATTTTTTTTAGTCTGCATCACAAATCTTCTCTGTACTTCCTGGTAATATTAACAGTTAAAGAGGCATCAAAGATGCAGTTGCATCCTAAATAAATAGTTTGACTTTGTGAATTCTTTTTTAAGTACAGTTAGATGCAGATCCCCAATTACCGGAGGTTTTCAAATAAATATAGCCTTTTATCTGGGATGAACTTATAATTCCTGGCCTAGATAGATCTGGAAGATCAGCCTTGCCAAAGCTATGATTTTATGACTCTATGATTCTAAATATCCTAAACCCAGGATAGCTTTCAGCAGGCTTCATTGTGGTGCACATAGAAATTGAAACCACATTTGTTCAAAGTGCTTCTCCAGTGTGCTAGTTAGAGTCAAAAATTAACTCCCCAAGTAAGACTTAATCCTATTTTTTTCTCCTTAAGACAGGATCCTGTTTTGGCATGGAGTACCATCAAAGAAACAAGTACAATCAAAAATCCATTTCAAATCATTCGACTAAATTCAATTCAATTCAATCAATTTAATTCAATTCAATCTGATCTTACTACAGGCGGTCCTCATAACCATTCATTTAGCGACTGTTCAAAAGCTTACAACGGCACTGAAAAAAGTGACTTATGGCTGTTTTTCACATTTTATGACCATTGCAGCATCCCCCCAACTGGCCATTGGCTCATATTTATGACAACTGCAGGGTCATGTGATCACCTTTTGTGACCTTCTGTTAAGCAAAGACAATGGGGAAGCCAGATTTACTTAACAACTGTGTCACTAACTGAACATCTGCAGTGATTCACTGTGGCAAGAAAGGCTATAAAGTGGGGGCAAAACTCACTTAACAACTCACTGAGTAACAGAAATTTGGGGCTCAGTTGTGGTCATAAGTCGAGGATTGCCTGTTCAGAAAATGGAATGGTTAAAGGTTCATGCCTGAAAAATTATATATTGACTATTAGGGAAAAGTAATATTTCGAATGCATTCATGCAGACATACCTGTGGTTACCCTCAGGATGGCGTGAGTTTCTGAGCCATTGGATAAGCGACAGATGTAAATCCCCGAATCGCTCATGATGAGATTCTTAAGGATTAGTAATTGCGGAGGCTGGTAGATCAGGCGTTGGTTGAACCGAAGAGGAATTACTTCATTCCTGGCGGGATTCCAGTTTATCTCCACTCTCTCTGTGCTGGTGTTCGCACATTTGGGATTCAGAGGGAGCCAAAACAAGTGTGTGTGATAGCCCACAGCTTCACAGGGAAAGGAGGCCTCCTCTCCAGGTTTATGAGTGAGCTTTTTCACCAAGATTGCTGATGGAGAAGACAAGCAGAAGTTAACCACCTCTCGGCCAAACGCTGCTTCCTACCCTACTTTTAAGAGTCCTACTCACAAGAAACCATTCTCTTGATTCTTCTTTTAAGCGGTTTTTGCCCAACCTTGTGGTTCCCATCATTCCTAAATAGTTCGGGATAATGGGCATTGTAATTTATCTTGTGGAGAGGATGCTGAGATACCTGTGGTTTTTTTTTTTTTTTTTTTGGAGGTATCTGACTCTCGTGCCCTTGAACACACAGGCTAATCTTTCACATACACAAATCCTAAACGTGCACCCACAGAAAAAATTGTCTTCCCATTTAAACCCACAAATGAAAGTCAGGTCACTAAAAATAAGAGAAGTCTTTCTCCTCACCCCACTTCTTCATCTCCCAGCTCCAAGATGGCCCCTCGGTGTTTTTTGTTACCTTGCCCTTTCCTCAGAAGGATTATTTCCACCAATACATTCAGGAGACAAAACTTCATATTTGCACCCCGCTTGGATGTTTTGCAATGCCTTCTACCATCATTAATTCCACTCAAGAAAAGGAGGGAAGCATTTTTGAACAAGAGGCCAAAATTAGCCCTCTGAAAAGATTATCGCTTCTTTGTGGTGGTTTGGTTTTCCTCTGTGAGTCAAAGGAGGAACACCATTTTATCATCTCCAGCCAGCCACAGTGTGTGGTTTCAGCCTTGGGACGGGGAAGGCCAGGCTGTCTCATGGACAGCCAAGTTATTTTTGTTCATATTCATCTCACACCAAGGCTGATGGAAACCAAGGAGGAATCTTGCCAGCGACCCATAACTTACCGATTGCCTTAAAATACGACTGCTATTCCTGAAAACAACACAAAACGAAGCAAAAACAAAAACAGAAAAAAAAAACACAGGTATCAGCTCAGGGAATTAACAGTACTCATTTTGCAATTGCTAATTAACTAAAATGCTTCTTAGAACCATGGAACCACAAAGTTGGAGGCATCTTGGAGGTCTTCTAATCCAACCCACTTCCCAAGGCAGGAAGCCTTAAACCAGTGGTTTTCAACCTTTCTAGTGTTGCGACCCCATAATACAGTTCCCCATGTTTGGATGCCACCTATTACCACATTTGGTGGTCGTGCAGAGAGCTAAAAGCATTTTGGATCAAGATATGGTGGAATATCATGAGAATTTTTAGGAGGGTAAAATTTACTCCGCAGTTATTTTTGTTGGGTATAGTTACTGATTGTGATACAAAGGAGGTTATATTGATGTTAAATTTGATTACAGCCGCAAGGCTGTTAGTAGGACAATATTGGAAGAAGGAATCCTTGCCTACACTGCAGGAATGGTTTTTTAAAGTGTCCTATTTGGCGGAAATGGCAAAGATTTCGGCTTTTTTAAAGGAACAAACGCAAGAGAAATTTCTTGCTGTTTGAGATAAATGGATAGAATTTATACAATTTAAATTGGATATAAAAAAATATCATATTGCTTTTTCATAATTCTTATTTTTATATACATATACATATATTTCAGTCTTATTTTTTTTCTTTTTTATATATAATTTTCTTAAATTCCTTTTTAATTAAGCCTATATTCTGCTCTGGGAAGCTTAGGGGGGGGGAAGGGGGGGTGTTTTGGGGGGGGATGGGGAAGGGGATGTTATGTTTAGTTTTTTGTATATGTTGTTTTCTGTTTTTGTATTGTTATATTTTTTTTCTGTTTTTTTGTAAAAACTTATAAAAATTTTCAATAAAAAAAAAAATACAGTTCTCCATGTTAGTAATAGTAATAGTAGTAAAGTTGGAAGGGACCTTGGAGGTCATCTAGTCCAACCCCCTGCTCGGGCAGGAAACCCTACACCATTTCGGACAAATGGCTGTCCAGTCTCTTCTTAAAAACTTCCAGTGTTGGAGCATTTACTGCTTCTGGAGGCAGGCTGTTCCACTGATTAATTGTTCTCACTGTCAGGAAGTTTCTCCTTAGTTCTATGTTGCTTCTCTCCTTGATTAGTTTCCACCCGTTGCTTCTTGTCCTTCCTTCAGGTGCTTTGGAAAATAGCTTAATTCCCTCTTCTTTATGGCAGCCCCTGAGATATTGGAATACTGCTATCATGTCCCCCCTTGTCCTTCTCTTCGTTAAACTAGACATACCCAATTCTAGCAACCGTTCCTTATATGTTTTAGCCTCCAGTCCCCTAATCATTTTTGTTGCTCTTCTCTGTACTCTTTCTAGAGTCTCAACTTCTTTTTTGCATCGTGGTGACCAAAACTGGATGCAGTATTCCAAGTGTGGCCTTAACCAAGGCATTGAAGAGTGGTATTAATACTTCACGTGATCTTGATTCTATCCCTCTGTTAATGCAGCCTAGCACTGTGTTTGCCTTTTTGGCAGCTGCCGCACACTGCTGGCTCATATTTAAGTGATTGTCTACTAGGACTCCGAGGTCCCTCTCACAGTTACTACTATTGAGCATGGTGCAACCTATGCTGTACTTGTGCATTTGGTTTTTCTTTCCTAAATGTAGAACCTTGCTTTTTTCACCATTGAATTTCATTTTGTTAGTTAGTGCCCAGTGTTCAAGTCTGTCCAGATCCTTCTGTATCTGAGGCCTGTCTTCTGGAGTGTTGGCTATTCCTGCCAGCTTGGTGTCGTCTGCAAATTTGATGAGTTCCCCATCTATCCCTTCATCCAAATCGTTGATGAAGATGTTGAAGAGTACTGGGCCCAGAACAGAGCCCTGGGGCACCCCACTACACACTTCCCTCCATATAGATGCAGTTCCATTGAGGATCACTCGCTGAGTACGGCCGGTCAGCCAGCTACGGATCCATCTGGTGGTGGTTCTGTCTACCCCACATTTTTCTATCTTGTCAAGTAGTAGGTTGTGATCTACTTTATCAAATGCCTTACTGAATTCCAAGTAAATTATGTCCACAGCATTCCTCTGATCCACTAATTTTGTCACTTGGTCAAAGAATGCAATAAGATTTGTCTGGCATTATCTATTTTTGACAAACCCATGTTGGCTTTTAGTAATGACTTTGTTTGCCTCTAGGTGTTCATTGATTCGTTGTTTGATTATCTTTTCCAGGATCTTCCCAGGTATTGAGGTCAGGCTGATAGGTCTGTAATTTCCTGGATCCATTTTTTTTCCTTTTTTGAGGATGGGAACTACATCAGCTCTTTTCCAGTCCTCTGGTAGTTCCCTTGTGTTCCAGGATCTTTGAAAAATATAGTTCAGTGGCTCCGATATCACATCTGCCAGTTCCTTGAGAACTCTGGGGTGTAATCCATCTGGTCCTGGCGATTTGAACTCATCTAGGCTGGACAGGTGCTCACTAACGATTTTCTTGCCTATCTTAACTTGTGTTTCTGTTTTGTTTTTTGTGGCACTATTTTTGATAGGTTGGTCTGTTTTTTCCCTTTGTGTAAGGACAGATGCAAAAAATGAGTTAAATAGTTCTGCTTTCTCCCTGTTGCTTGTCACCTTCTTGCCACTTCCACCCACTAATGGACCAATCATTTCCTTCACTTTTTTCTTGTATTTTACATGTTGAAAGAAGCTTTTTTTGTTATTTTTGACTTTGGTCGCAAGCCTCAGTTCATTTTGAGCCTTGGCTTTCTTCACTTCATCTTTGCAGGCTCGGGCTATTTGCTGATATTCTGACTTAGTTATGTTCCCCTCTTTCCACTTTCTATACTTGTCCTTTTTATCTTTCAATTTGTCAGAGAGTTATTTATGCAGCCATGCTGGTTTCTTTTGAGAGCTGTTATTTTTCCTCTTTGTTGGTATTGTGCTAGACTGGGCTTTTATTATCTCATTTTTCAAAATTTCCCAAGCTTCTTGAGTTGTTTTCCCCTTGAGGATTCTCATCCATGGAATCCTTCCCAAGCCCTCTCTAAGTTTATTGAAATTAGCTCTCTTGAAGTCCAAGACTCTAGTTTGACTGTGTTCTATTGGTTGTGCTTCTATAATGTTGAATTCTAATATTGCATGATCACTTCCTCCCAGGGTTCCTATGGCTCCAACACCGTCTATCATTTCATCTCTGTTAGTGAGAATTAGATCCAAAATGGCTAATCCCCTAGTTCCATTCTCTACTTTTTGGGAGACAAAGTTGTCTGCTAGGTTTGCCAGGAACCTGTTTGATCTTCCACTTGGTGCGGAGTTTGTCTCCCAGTTGATGTCAGGGTAGTTAAAGTCCCCCATTACTATTGTGATGTGCTTCCTACATACCTTAGTTAGCTGACTAGCAAAAAGTTCATTTTTTGGCTGGGCCTTTTACTATTGGTTCCTTGATTGGGGTATTGCTAGATCAGTGGTTCTCAACCTGTGGGTCTATTCTCTATTCTCTCTTGAATAGAGTCTAATTCTATTGGCTTTCAAAAGCCAATAGGAATTGTCCAGGCTGTCTCTGCTCTGCTGAGCCCGCCAAACGTCCCATTCTGCAAACAGTGCTGCACCAGTTGAGTAGTCCTCGACTTACGACCAGTTGGGGGGTCACGGCATTAAAAAGGTTGAGAACCACTGTGCTAGATTGTTGGTCTGATGTTAATCCTGGAGTTAATCTATGCTCAACTGGTTATTGGTGGAGAAGTGTTTTGGTCTTCTTGTTCCCCCTTTGCTTTGTTGATTGTCTTTTGCATACTCTGATTTGTTAAGAGTGCCAGGCTTCTAGAAATTCCCTAGTGATTTTGAACTTGGCTAGGTTTCAGACGGTCACAATTTCCCAGTTGAAACTATGGGAAACTATTGAGAAGCCCTGTTCTAAACTAAGAAATTAAGAAAAAAATAGCAACAAAGTCCTCTTGACCTAATGGGCAGGTCAATACTTTGTATTCCCAATTCCCCCTCCCCCACACTCATTTAGTTTTGAGGATTAGGGTTAGGGTAAAAACTCATGAAGTTATTTATTAGCCTTTCTAAAATATTTATCTCTATACTTCCTGCTTACTCTATTCTTGCTTCCTGCACGAATTCTTGCTTCCCCCACTCTGTTTCTTCAGCTAGTCAGATGCTCTCTGCCCTTTTCATTTCTAAACATTCTTCAGGATAGTTAAAGACTATTTGTGTACTGAAATATTCCATCCAAGGCAAACAGCTCACCCACTAACAGGAGGACCACACAGCATGGAAGTCCTATCAATCTGGAGGTTATTGCTTTTCCAATATATATCTGTGAAGAAGCAGTAAAGACGTCCTCTAGCTGAATTTGATTCCTAGAGAGGATGAGAAACTTGCATGCTGTCTCCTTGGAAACATCAAGGAAGTAGTATCCCACAGCCTCCCTTTTTTTTCCCAGCCAAAATTCCAGCCCTGTAATTCCAGTTCCCAACCCAGATCGAATCTGCTTAGTTTCCAACAGCAGACAAGGCCAGCAAAGGGCCTGCAGCTCCTGAGACCAGAGAGTCAGGAAATATAAAAAATACCATCTTTATTGTGAACCCTTACGACAAGATGTGAGGGTTGGTGGCCAGATGATCAATATTACAGGGCAGAGAAGCAGATTTACAGCATAGGGGAGGGACAGTGATGGCTGCTGCTGACGCATACACACACACACACAAATGTGTATGCACGCACAGGAAAGGTAGAGGCGGAAGGGATGTCAGAACCAGAAGCCATGAGTGCAGGAGAAGCATGGGAGGTGGTGACGGCGGGGATGGTGAGGGTGGTGGAGAATGTTATAAGTTCCATGGAAGATGAAATTCTTGGGGTGGAAGTGGAGTGCAGTGTGTCGCTTCAAAATTTTGCAGGTGCTTCCGTGCCTGTGGAATGAAAAAAAAAAAAAAGTTACATTGGGAGAACCCAACTGGTA